TTTTTTTTTTTTTTTTGGGTAAGAATTAAGGGAAAATCAAAAGCATGAAATCATCATCAGAAAATTCGAACCTTGAGGCATCTTTGGAGCATACAAGGGAATCAAAATCAGAGTGGCAATAGGAGGCGCCGGTTTAAGGAGAGGGGATGGTGGTCTGTCCGGGGGCTTTTATAAATTAATAAATATTAATTCGATTAAACTTTTATAAAAATTTAAAATTTCTTAACATTGACAATATAAGCAATATAAGCGCACTTTTGATGATCCAACTTTTGGTAGCTTAATAACCACACCTTTAAATGAGTCTGGTGAACATAATAATCTGAGTTTAAATCTAGGCGGTACTTCCTTTCCCTTACTAATTTCTACCGGTTCAAAAAATAAAAAAAATAAAAAAAAGCACACTTTTGACGGGGAAAGAAACAAAGAAATGGAAAACCTATTCTATCCTAAGCCTAACACTAATTACCCAAAAAAAAAAAAAAAACCTGAGGCTTGGCTAATACTTACATTATTTATGCAACAATACAAGCTCTTGTAAACAACACATGCTGTTCGTATGCAGCATAAGGAAGTTCTTAAGTAACTCAAAAACTTTCAAAATACATGGAAGAAGAAAGAAAATATTCCAAGCACACAAAGACAAATAACTAATACCAACAATTAAGGTTCTCCTTAGAGTTGATTACATTGGACTCCACAGGCCATTAGTGATTAGAGTAGAGTCCTCAAACTCAAAACCATAGCTGCTTAAGCCGAATTCCATTGATGAAGCTTCTGTAATTTCACAGGCGGTTGCCTCCTCCTGACCATGAAGCTTCACCTGGGTCATTGCTTCATTTCCTGTGGACTCTTTACTGCCCCAAAAACAGTCGTTTAGTCCCACCCCTGTCAATGCTGGCTCATGGAACGGAGCGAAGGACATTGGCATTATTGAATGTGGAGTTTGTTCTTTGGTTGTCCAAATGCCATCTGCACGGTTTTGGTTTTCATAGGTTGATGTGGCTAAAACTTCATGCATTGATGAGAGAGAATGTGATGAATTTGGCAGGGTGGCCATAGGTATGGTGTAAATGTTCTTCACCATCTGATATTTGGTTGGTGAAATGAGGTTATGAGTGTTGGGATCTAACCCCTGTGCAATAAGCTTCTTCTTAATGTATGAATTCCAAAAGTTCTTTACTTCATTGTCTGTCCTCCCTGGCAAGTACTTGGCTATCTGAGCCCATCTGTTGCCCATAATTTGATGAAGATCGATGATTATATTCTCTTCTTGTGCACTGAAGGGGCCCCTTTTGAGATCAGGTCTTAAATAGTTTATCCATCTCAGTCTGCAGCTCTTACCACACCTCTGCAACCCTGCAATACAAGTTCATTAAGAAATTGAAGAGCAAAGTAAACCCATTTAAAGGAATTAAGGAAAATATCAAGAGTAACGTTTACATGTACCAGCAAATTTTGGAACGGAACTCCAAGAACCATAGCCACGCGTGGTTATGTATTTGATAAGTTTCTCATCTTCTTCAGGAGACCAGCGGCCTTTCTTCACTTTCTGTTTGTCGCTGCAGTGATGCCCCATCTCTGACTCCTGAATATATCGTACCCCTAAATATTTGGTGTTGCATTCCCTGCTTTAATTATATCTTTTGCTCCAACTAACTAGAAAAGCTACTAGCAGTAGTGTAGTGCGTATGGTAGTATACCTCTGCTCTAGATTAACATAAAGATGTTATTAAAATTCAGTTCATATGAATTACAGTACATGTGTGTGACGGGACAGAGCAAGGCCGGAAATTTAACTTTGGGTTTACTTTATGAAAGGACCACAGAAGTCTCCTCCAGTCTTTTGTTAGCTTTCAATCCCTGTCTTCAACCTTGCCATCAGATTATCTTTTAAAAAGAAAAGTTTACTTATTATTAATTAACTCAATAACAGAATTTGTCTCTCGATTGAAAAAATAATTATTAGTGAAGTATGTATATTTGTTGAGTGAAAAAATTTCATACCAAGTATATAAAAAAAGAACATACAACTTAAATATAAGGACACCTATTATTAATTGATTTTAGGTTAAATATAGACCTTATGTTAAAATTTAATTATATACCCAATTTTTATATAGTATCAAAATCTAGAATTTGTTTCTAAAAAGCACTTTGTTTGCTCACATTTCAAGAAAATCTTATATCAAGTATATAATAAAAGAATTTTAAATTGGAGATCCTCTGTTGAAATTTAGATGCCTACTTTTCACAATATTGTTTTGTAATTTAAACTACATTAAGTTACAAAAAAGAAATCAATGGATAGGACTCACTTTATCTAATCATTTAAATTATGCAATTCAAAGCAGTCTATACTGCAATACACTTTTTTTATATACATTAGTTGAATACATGATGAATGTAGATAAAGGAAAAAGAGCTAAGAATGATAAAGATATATAGCCAAATTCATGGGAAGACCTAATGATCAAAAAGAATCCACATCATTAATTTCTGGCATCCAAATTCATGTACAAGGCATGCAAAAGTATAGTACTAATAAACATGGCCATTTGGGAGAGACCTAAGGATCAAAATGAATTTGTATCATTTCTGGTGGTGGTAAATAAAGTATACTTTTTAAAGATACAAACTTTAGTACGTGTCTCATCATGAATATATATTCATGGTCCATGATACTTTATATCCTGAAAACTATTTTTGCCCATTTCTTGCATCAAAATATATAACTATGATACATGAAAAAGCTATAACTCATCAATTCAATATTCAAGAAGGTTATTGCTGACCAGATGATTTCTGTCATAGATATGTATATGGTATAAAATTAGAATGAGGATAGAGATGAGAGGCCGATGACATGTATATCCTTTCTTCACTCAACCGTTGCTTAAGGTTGAGGGCATCCATTTCTTCGTGTCAATGAAGCTGATGATGATTTGGATGACTCTACTTTCATGTATTCCACCCTCTCTTCTAGTAAAATTTCTTTCTCTTTTTGTTCATTTTTTTGGGGGTAATGCTATAGGTAGGAAGTTATATATATATATATATATATATATATGTATATGTATAGGCGAGCTATTGATTTCAAGCCCGAAGGTCCCTATAACTTTTATATATTTAATTTTATTTTTTGGGTTTTTTTTTTCTTTTAATTTTATATATTATTAAACTGAAACAAGAGAAAAAACCATTTTAACCTTTGGTTAACCATTAGGTGGACTGAACTACAAACTCTCTGATCAGATAATTTTTATACATATAAACTATTTAATTTACCTATTATATATAATAAACTTATTTGTATGTAAATTAAGTATCAAAGTTATCGGCCTAATGGTAAGAGTATATCTTGCTATACAATTTAGAGCTAAAATTTGAAACTAATGGCAAAAGTTATGTTATTTAAAGTATGAAAAGATGAATGATATATTATTTTTAAAATTAACTCTTTTTATTTTATTGAAACTTATAATATTATATATATATCAATTTATTTAATAATATAATCTAAATTTTAATAAATATATCTTTATGCAAAATATGTTAGTTAAAATACTGTTGGTCTGGTGGCAAATGTCACATTGTGTGTTCAAGATGAGCAGACTTGATTTGTGACCAGCATTGACTCAATCATCCAATCCAGTTCAATTTTAAGATGTTGCCATAAATTTTAACAAGAAAAAGTTGAGATGGCGTTTGATCCTGTCGCGTAGTTTAATCTAGAAAAACATGTGACTTAAACTTTAAATATTAAAATTTGAAAAATCTAAATTTTAACATTTTAAATTTTAAATTCTAAAAAAATTTAAACTTAACACCTTAAATACTAAATTTTTTAAAAAATATATATATAAATTCTAACCCGCCAAGTAATAAACCTAATAAAAATCTAAACCTTCACAAATGCTAAACCCTATATAAATCTTAAACTCGAGCACTAATCTTGAAAAAATCTAAATTCTAACCCTTAAGTACTAATTAACCCTAAAATGTTCCAAACCCTACCATTTCAAGCACCTAAATCTATTAGTTTTATATTATAACACACTAAACATTAGTAAATCATAACAAAATCTAAACCATAACATCACAAGAATTGAATCTTAAAAAATCTAAATCCTAACAAGCCAAGCATTAATTAAACCATAACAAATTTAAGTTCTAAATGCTCAAACACTAAAAAATTTAAGGACTAAAATCAGTTTAATTTACTAAATATAATGACCAATGTACAATTTAATCATAAAAATTTATACATTTTTTAAAATGATAATTATACTAATAATATTAATATATGTTCTTTTGAGAATAAAAGAGTGTCAAACCTAAAACTTAAATTTCACGTAACTGGGATACTATCAGTTTGCTTCTCAAAAAGAAACGTAGTCATCTAAACCACACAGCTGATTGGCCATAACAATTTACACATTTATTACAATTCTTGAGGAGAAAATCACTTTTCAATCAAGGTGAAACTTTTATTCATTAGCCAATAGCTTTACCACATTTACAAAGATAAGAAAATCTTTACTCATAGATAAGATCTTACAAGCATATATAAAATAAAATTAATCACACATGGAGATAATTAAATTAATAATACTAAAGTTATAATGTAATTTAATTTTGGGTATAAAAAATGATATTTAAAATTGTAAATTTATAATTTAATACATTATTAAATAAGTATAATTTGTTCTTAAAAAAATAAATATATAATATTATGAATAAATTTTTAAATAAAAAATGATTATATAATAATATAATATAAATACATAATATATATCATATAACATTAATTGTAACTATATCATTTTAATAATATAATCATAGTGTATATCATTTTCACATCATTTTAACATTAAGAAAATTTGGACTCCTTTCAACGAATTATCCCATTCACATGCTCCCTTCGTCAAAAGTTTTAGTACTTGAAAGTTTGGACACCTTTCAATCTTTTCTTAAAATTGATGAGCACCATCTCCAATGACGTGGTTGTACATCATGATTAGAACATAAAAAACCGATCTGATTTTTCTTTTTTATTTTCATCACAACTTGAAACCTTAAAAACAAAACAAAAGAGACAGAGATCACTGTAATGCAAGGATTGAAGGCAACAGAGAAGACAGGGACAAAGAAGGGGGAAAGGGAACAAGAGGGTAATAAGGGAGAAAATAAAAAGAAAAGGAGAGAGCAAGAGGAAGGATTTAGAGAGGAGATGTCTAGAAAAAGGAAAACAGAAGTAATGGAGAGTGACTTTAAAATTAAGAGTATGTTTGGTGAAATTTGTAAATATTTTAATTTTTTGATATTATTTATGTTTTATAAATTTAATTTAAAAAAAATAAATTTATATTTTTTAACATTTTTTAAGAA